TTGGTGTCGCTTGAGGTGTGCACCAAGGTGCTGCCTAAGAGAACATGGGGCGGCAGTTGAGAGCTTCCACGTTCCAGCAATGCCAGAGGAAGCAGTTTTTCCGACCTGCACCGAACTGCTACGTGGGTGTCGCTATTTACTGTTAAACATATATATTTCTGCGAAATATAAACATTAAGAATGTCATGCTCCTCCTAAGCCACGGCCATCTGGCTGCAGTGTCTCTCTATCTCCTTCAGGCGGTTGATCAAAGACTGCAGCTCTTCGGCGTTGCACACAAACTCCACGACGGTTACTCGCTCTCCACTACTCGGCCGGAAGTTACCCAGATTGATGTAGAAGCTAGCTACACCAGTGCTGCAATCGGAAGTGGAGGACTTCACATCGCAGGCGATGCGCCATTGGATGTCGGTGATGTGCGGAAAATTGTGGCCCAGTTGCAACTGCCGCAGCACCAGATCCTTGCGATTGTCCTCGTACACGCGGGCTAGCTCCTCGATGGCCACGCTGTTAATGGACAGCTGATCCAACTGTTGGCGGAGCGTGAAGCCATCCCAGCCGTTCTTGGTGGCCAGCGAGAGCAGGGTGACAACAGCATATTCACTTTGCTTGGCACAGGCCGCGTTGCTGGCATAAATCTCCGGCACGGGGGCAATAGTTGCATCCGGGTGAAGGGTTAGTTTCAGCGCGTTTGCGATGAGTATCTTGGTCAGAGCGGGCGTAATAATGTTGCCCAGGCTTTTGAGACCGGCCACCACGGTTGCGGAGAGCAGTCCACTCTCCTCAGTGGTTGCATCCACAGCGGGAGGCTTCTCCGTTTGCGTCGCCATGTGGCAACCACTTCTTCCTCAATGGATTATTCGTATCAAGCTATAATTAATAATTATTAGAGCCAAAGCGGCTGTAAACAATAACAAACAATAAACGCGCTTAACAGCACTTACTAACAGAACTGGCGGAATACAGGTGGGTGCAGTCGAATAAAATAATTTTCGAGGCTGGGTATTCGGGGCATTTAGCGGCAGAGATCACCACGGGAGCGGTAACTGAAGATCCCTTAGATCCACGGTGGTCTCATGGCGCAGCAGAAAGTCCATACCCAAGAGGCTAGGGATGCTGCCCTCCACCAGCAAGAACTCGTGGGTGACCGGCCTCCCGACAATTTCCAGTCTGGCGTTGACTCAAGCGGTGGCCACGAATTGTTCTGCCGAGGCTCCTTGTAGAGTCACTTGGCACAGTGTACTCGGAAGTCGTTCTGGCAGAACACTAACACTTAGTAAGGAGACAGTGGTACCGGTCACAACATCAACACAACATCAAACAATGTAAATGTGGGGCTTTTGGGGTGGGCCGTCAGCCTCCGCCCCGAGAAGTTGACGGCAGTTAGTTTCCCGAGGACGACACGGGGAGGAACCTGGGCCGGCCTTGTCGTTTCTGCGAGGACCTCGGTTTCCTCCTCCGGGTGCGCCGATGTGATTAGCCGATTACATCAGCCGATCGCAGGCACCGCGGCGACAGTCATCACGGCGGCCGGTGGGCGTCGTCGACATTGTGCTGCGATGCGGCAAGCCAAGTCGAGGGCCTCTGCCAGCGATCGCGGATTGCTGCTGATGATAGGGACCTGGTATCCGGACTCCCGGATGATACTCTATGATACTGTTATACGTCGCGTGCGCAACTCGCCCAGGACGCATCTGTCCAAACGCTCCAGCTCCATTGCGAAGTCTTCGAAGGACTCTCATTTTCAATTAAAAGGCGTGATAGCCGGCTTTGTTTGCTTTTGAAATGTTCGCGCATAGCGGCGGTTACGGCGTCATACGAGAGGAGCGTGGCCTCCGGGAGGGTGGCGTGAAAGCGCTGGGAGCGCCCTCGAAGGCTTGTATACAGCTCCTGCATCTCTTCCCCTCTGACCAGTGGTATTCCTCGGCCATGTCGTCTAAAAGGCGCTGAAATTCCGGCAAGGGACGGCTGCCGTCGAAATTAGGTCGCACGCTGTAAGCGTGCCGCGCCTGTCCGGAGTCCACGTTTGATGCCTCACCTACGCGCAAGGTGCTCGCGGAGTGGTGATCGCTTCTGGCTGGCGGCATGCTGGCTGTCGTCGCCCACATTTGCTCGAACTACTGGTGAAGCGACTGATCCAAAGTGTCCACTATTTACTCCATTCGTCGGAACGAGGGGTCGACGGCTCGGTCCACGGCGTCCAGCGATGCGACCCCATCTCGCAGCTCTCCCTGGTTATCACCTCGGACAAGGCCAGACGGCGGTAGCGAGCGGAACTCTTCGCATCACCAATGTAACGAATTTCTACCGTGATCGAGCCACGGGCAGAGTCCCTTACGGAAAGCCGAGCGGAACCTTTTTATTGGTGTAGCTGCCTAGAACCTGGTCGGTCCCACTTACTCGTCCTGATCTCTACCTGGCCCCATGTGTCAAAGTGGTTATTTCTTCGCTTTTCTTTATTAGTGATCAGAGACGCGTGCTTTACCGGACACGTTCGTAAGAAGAAGTGAAGGAAACGAGAGCGCTTAGAGAGACCAGGTATCCTGGCTGTCAAAAGCTCTAATAATTGCGCTTATGAGGGAACAGTATTATATTTAGAATGGCATTCAGCGCTACTACGAAGCGGGATCTTAGTGTTCACGGGGAATCTCCGCTTGACGATCTTTATACTCTTGTGAATTTCTGGGTGCTCCAGTGCTCCGTATGTAAATATGTGTCTTACAACTGCTGTGTAGAGCCAAATTAAATTCTTGGATCAGTGCACCAGTTTGTTTTACTCTTTTCTTGATGTTTTATTTCTATGACAGTTGCGCAACCAGTATCCCTCGCAGAAACTTTGCCTGCCGTGATAGTTTCAGTTCTGTACCATTTTGAATCTGGGCATCTTTGTGCTCCTTATAAAGAGCATAAATTCTGTTTAGCCTGGGCTGATTCCAAATCCACAGGCTTTTGCCCAAGAATTAAGTTTAGTGTGCGCCCTCGACATTAGGAATGCTACCACTTTTGCTCTTTCACTATTAAGTGCTTTTTATCTGTTGACCACGTTTATCAGCCAAAACAGTGAAGTGCTGCTCGTTAGCGTAGCGCCAATTAATGTTCTGATGACTTCTTCAACTCCTTTTTTGCTATGGGATCCCATGAATTTAAGTCGTTAGAAGCGCCTTCTATGCTTAATAAGTTGACCATCGTGTAGTTTTTAAATAGTATTGCCTTTTCTATGTACTGCACCACTTTGCGTAGACTTGTAACCGTGCAACTGCATTTCCTGAATGCAAGCTGTGAGTCGGTTCTTCCACTGGTAATACTATCCGTCCCAGTCTTTTTTATAAGGAATGAGGTCAGGTTAATCAGTCTGTAATCCTTGGATTGAATGTGTTCCCTATTTCCTAGTTTGGGTATGAAGACAACACTTGACTTTTCCACCGGAAGTAGATATGTTCTGTTTTTATGCATTGCAGTTCTCTCTTAGTGACTGACTTAAAGGTTTCCCAAATAACCGTTCTCTCTCTTGGTGGCTGTCTGAACGGTACCCCAAACAAACATTCTTTCTATTGGTGGCTGATTAAAAGGTCACTCACAAGCCGTTTTTTTCTTTGATGACTGACTGAAAGGCCCCTTCAAAACCGTTCTCTCTCCTGGTGGCTAACTGAAAGGTTTCCCAAACAACCGTTCACTTTATTGGTGGCTGACAGAAAGCTACCCGAATACCCTTCTCTCTCTTGGTGACTGATTAAAATGTCTCCCAAACAACCGTTCTCCCTCTTGGGGCTGACTGAACGGTCCCCTAAACAACCGTTCTCACCCATGGTGTCTGATTTAAAAGGTCCCCCAAAAATCGTTGTCTCCTTTGGTGACTGACTGAAAGGTTTCCCAAACAAACGTTATCTCTTTTGGTGGCTAACTGAAAGGTACCTCAAAAGCCGTTGTTTCTCTTTGTCGACTTTTTAAAAAGTCCCCCAAAAACGTTTCTCTCTCCTGGTGGCTGTTTGAAAGGTCCCCGAAACAACCGTTCTCTCTCTTTGGCGGATGATAGATTGTCCGCAAAACATCCGTTCTCACTCGTGGTGACTGACTGAAAGTTCCCCCAAAAACCAATGTCTCAGTTGGCGACTGACTGAAAGGGCCCTCACCAACCGTTGTCTCCCTTAGTGAATGACTGAAAGGTTTCCCAAATAACCGTTCTCTTTGTTAGTGGCTGACAGAACGGTATCCAAAAACCGTTGTCTCCCCAACCGCTCTCTCCCTTTGGCGGCTGACTTGAAGGTCCTCCAAAACCCCTTTCTCTCTTGGTGGCTGACTGAAATGTCCTCCACATAACCGTTTTATCTCGTGGTGGCTGACTGAGAGGTCCCCCAAACCGTGTTGGTGGCAGAGTGAAAGGTCCTCCAAATTGAATCGGTCCAATTGGTTAAGTCCGCTTCAAATACAGTGCATTGCAACGACCACAACACTATTATCAGAGCAGGCAGAAGACCCATGAAAGTCATGCAAGACAATTAAATGCACTCACAAACAATAGAGTAGCAGATGTAATTGTTGCCAAAAATGTGGAACGGTGAAATTTTATTCTCAAACGTCGGAAAATAAATCAAAAAATATAGTTTATCATCTCGCTCTCATCTTATGATATTCACCTTAGAAATATTCCATAGAAATTTAAATTTTTAAAGCTCATTGTATATCATTGTTGCAGCACAGCAAGCCCCGCCCCACATGTACTGCTAGAGCTGGGAATCATTTAGTCCCGCGCATCTGTTCGACAAGCCTAAGTGTGGTTAACAATCGGGCATTGAATCTAGAATCGATACCCAAAAATTCTTCCCTACTTCAACGACGTTCCCAACATCACAGGATTAGATTTTTGTGTCTGTTTTTTTTTTTATATAATAAGGCAATGGAGGCTAAAGGATAAAAGGCAAAATATTATTCCATATTTTTATAATATTATAACGAGTAACCGAATATTTTTCTCAAATTACTAATATTAGTATTATTTTTAGATGACTCATCAACAAGACTATATTTGGTTTCTTCCCCATTTGCTTTCAAAAGATCGGGATATCTGGAAATCTGTTAATTCTAGCTGCAGCGTAAAACAGTTCGAAAAAGTATGTTTTATATTAATAAATTTATCTACTGACTAATTTTACTGTTCTATCTAGGCATTCGACAGCCATTTTAGTTTAAGGTTCACTCCATTTGGAAGTCCAAATTCACCGATGCAAGAAATGATCACAGTTAAAGATTGGATGGACTCTTACAAACGCACATATGGTGACGAACCTTCTTATTACGCTGGATTTACATATGACGCAGTTTGGACATATGCTAAGGCCGCACATAAATTACTCTATGAAAACAAAACCATATTTAATAATTTAAGAAATCCCGAAGTTGTTAAAAATCTTGGTGATCTTATTCGGCAAACTAATTATAGAGGCTTGTCAGGGAATGTATCATTTGACAACGGAGAGAAAAGGTACGGATCACGTATTATTGAATTGGATGTATTGCAGTGGAGAAATAATAGTTTTAATAAAGTAGGTATTTTCAAACCAGTTTTCAAAATTAATGACACTTATAGATACACAAACGGGGGGGAATTGTTTTTAAACTTCTCAGAAATTTATTGGGCTAATGATAGGATCCCAGAAGACGGTAGATTTGATTGCAACCTATCAATATTGGCAAGAACTTTGCATGTAGACTGCAATATTATGAATACTTTTATTTTGATACTTATTTGCTTATTTACATTAGCATTTATATTTTTTGTAACGTTTTGTTTTTGGAGGCAACTGTACAGTCGTAAACTGAAACGTTCGGCAGAGATTATGAAAATGTTTGGAATCGACTTGTTATCTCCATCATTAAATAAAAATAATACTTTAGACAAATGGGAAATACCAAAAGGGAACGTGGTAGTTAATCGAAGTTTGGGGGAAGGCGCTTTTGGAATGGTTTATGGAGGGGAGGCACAGCTTTCTTCTGGGATCTGGACTGCTGTAGCCGTCAAAACATTGAAGTCTGGCCAATCTATGGAAGATCGTATAGACTTTTTGGCAGAAGCAGAGGCCATGAAAAAATTCGACCACAGAAATATTATTAAATTACTTGGAGTTTGTCTGCAAAGTGAACCCATTTATACAATAATGGAGTTTATGTTGTATGGTGACTTAAAAACATATCTATTGGCGCGTAGAAATATGGTTAATGATAAAGTGCCTGATGACTGTGATATTTCAGCAAAGTATCTTACACTCTATGCATTGGATGTGGCAAAAGGTCTCGCATATTTAGCAGAACAAAAATACGTTCACAGAGATATTGCTTGCAGAAATTGTCTTATAAATTCTTATCGAGTGGTTAAAATCGCTGATTTTGGTATGGCTCGTCCCACATTTGAAAGTGACTATTATAAGTATAATCGAAAAAGTGTTCGAAAACTTTTTCCAGTTCGATGGATGCCTCCAGAAACACTAACCTTAGGATTGTTTACCCCTGCTTCCGACATTTGGTCATTCGGGATAGTAGTCTATGAAGTGATATCTTTCGGTTCCTATCCTTATCAAGGTCTTACTAATTATCAGGTGTTGAATTACGTTAAAAATGGCAACACCCCGCAGATACCTTTAGGGATAAAGCCACAACTAGAAGGTCTCCTAAAGTCTTGCTGGAGTCAGGATGCTTCTAAACGACCAACGGCAAAAGACATCGTCGAGTATATATCAAATTATCCTCGACTCCTAACGCCTACTCTTGAATTCCCTACCGCAGAAATTGACATACCGGAATATCAAATTCATCAAAAATCCACAGTCTCGTCTACTAACATTTGTGAGACCATGCCTATTTCTAATTCTGAATATTATTCAAAAATTACTGCCGATGGCTATAGCATAATGTCTCCATTATTAAAAAGTTCATAGAGTTCAAAAATGTGTTTTCAAAATTATATGTTTTTTAAATAAAACCAACAACAGCCTTAAAGCCTAAGAGTGTAAAGGGAATTGAAATTAATAAGAAACTTCAGACAAATGTGTTCAACTGTTGTTAACCACATTAATGATACAACACGATTTTTCAATGAAACGTCCAGTCTAAATGGGCTAAAGCAATTATTCTGATCAACTCTAAAAGTAATTATTTTAAGATTAAAAGTGTATTCAAATACGATTTTAAGTCTGTGGACGAGTGAGATGCGGATTGCCATAGTGGACCAGGAGTTTGCAAAGCAACGAAGAAGACATTTCCAAAATGCATATACATTACAGATTAGAATTTAAAGCCAAGCTATTGTCATTTGGTCACCTCTGTATCTGCTTCAAAGCGATCAATTTTTTTCTAAGTGAACCTTTAAAGATTCTTCTTACTTCCATACATACATACATAAGTCATATCGCTACAAAAAGAACGATAGGGAAATTTAAAACATAAAAGGAACGCTGAATCGAAAAATTTCCTACTTTCATTAGTCACCTATACTTCTTATTTAAAGTTTTTTTGTTACAGTTTTACATTTACAGTTTGGCATTTTCGTCTACATTTAACTACAGTTTATATGGGAGAAATATAGAATCCCGATTTGCATAAAATTAAAACAAAATCGAAAATTTAGAATAATATAGAATTGCTCTATCTCGAAGTGAATGAAAATATGTTGAAAACTGAAAAAGCTATATTTTTTTATTTTATTAATTTGTCGATCGTGTAGCTATATGATATAGTAGTCCGATTTTCATAAAACTTAAATCAAAACTTCAGAATATGTCATAATGGCTATATCTAAAATTTCAAGAAAATCTGTTTAGAACTGAAGTTGTAATTTTTTCAACGATTTTTTCGATTTTTCCTATGACAGCTAGATGATACAGTCAAGTAAAAAGAAAACTGAATGCTATGGTTTAAAAACTGTGCAACTTGTTTGGGTGGAAACGGATACACAGAAACGTCTACATCGACTCGCCTGCTAATGGATATCAAGAAACATTGTATACACTTTGTTTGGTCGGAGGTGACTCCTTTACTGCGTTGCGAACTTCTGACTCAAATTAAAATAACCTGCAAGGAAATAAACTATATTAGGCTACCGTTTTTTAACATGTTTCTAATTGTGTTACTTCGAGAAATATACATTTTTAATGATTCTAATACATTTTATCTGCGGACTATATATTTTGATATCCATTCGACATTTCAAATTAGATTGTCAATGGAAAAATTTTACAAAAACTATTTTGTGCATTTAGACCTTTAACCCTCAATCCATTTTCGTAAAAGTAAATAAATAAAAATAATAATATTAAAGGGAGATATACGATTTTTTGCAGATTTTTCTAATCTCTTATATAATAAGCGATAACTTCTTTGACATTTATGTCATAAATTAAATTGATTATACATATTATATTAATACATATAAATTAAAAACTGTACAAAATAACTATATCTAAGGGTATATTTGATTTAGTACCAAGATTCATTACAATTAAATTTGTATCGAGAGTGTTACATATACAATTTCTCGATTGTTTCTACATAAGTACATACATATGTATGTTATGAAATTATTTTTAAAAATTAGAAATAAAAAATTTGCATATTTATAAATAAGTATTTTTTTAATATGCATATTTTTACGTTTTTATATTTGTTTTTATTCCAACTTTTGATACGATAGTCCGATTTCGTACTCATTTATAACAGACACACAGAAGTGCTAATAAAATATATTCTTCTAGCTAAGAGAGTAATTTGCTGCGCGGGAATAATGATCTAATTGACAACTAAAAGGGTATACATATAAACTTTCGCCCACTGCAGTAAGCTGCACTCTTTCTTTAAACCTAATTTAGTGTCTCTAAGCTCCTATTATCTCTGAGAACCGTTTTTACGTATGACAGGTATAAAAAAGGAAAAATATAGCTTCTCTACATATAGTATATATATATATATATATATATATATTGATAGAAAGTTCACCAAGAGATTTGCAATAAGGGTCAACCGAATGTGTATATGAACTAAATAACAATAAATTTTACAATACTGAGAAAAAATTTAAGTAAATGAGTGGTAGAGGCGTTGCAGAGGGCGAGGATCTGACCATTCCGCCCCCTTGCATTTACTCGGGTTGCATTAAATACCTTGGTCAATAATGGCAAGGGAGTAAATTATCCATCCGTATTTGAATGTCTTATGATATGAAAATAATATATTTTTAAATGAAAATTAAAATTCGTGAATTTATATATAGGCAATTTTCCAGAAAGGTCCACCGCTCAAAAACTAAAAATTGCTTAAAACGAGTATTTTTAACATGGTTACATAAAAAATTGGTCAGATTGATCAAGACTAAGAAAATTTTTCATTTTCTAAAATAAATTTCGAAATAATCGATGTCAAGCACGCGTAAACGCAATTTATGTTACTTTTATTGATAACGTAATAAAAAAGGCATGTTTTGTTTCGATGCCAATCTATTAAAAAAAGTATTTTGATTTGACTTTTGATTTTTAATAACACACAGAGAATCCAAAGAGTAAATTTAAAATGGAAAGGACATATGCGATTACCAATATTCGTACAGTTTTAATTTTAATTATCGCTTTCTAAAATGTTGCAAGCGACCGGGGCTAAAATTGAATTGAAAAAATAACTACTTAATATTTTAAAATCAAACAAAATACATTATTAAGATAATTGATTGCATAATTAATTAAAATTTATTGCATTACAATTTTTTATCCCGCTTCGCTTCAGAGCTTGAACTGGTTTTTTGCAAACGTGACTTCTGTTTTTGTTGCGTGCGAATGCAGTACATATTTGTGAATATCTTGAAAAAAAATCGTAGCACCAATTATAGTACAAACCAAGAGCTTTACGGTTAAAAACTTTGTAAAATTAAAATAAAGTCTTGGCACATGTTTTTTTAGTTTGAATATGTACGAATGTCGAATTCGACACCATATATGGAAATGGTATCATTTTTGGTATTCTGACATCAGTTGAGAACGGCTGAACCGTTTTGGATGAAATTGTTTGTTCAATTCCTTAAAATTACCAGACAAATGATTTTGATGACAAAAAAAATTGTTAAACCTTCTTGAAATTGTTAACCAACAGTACAACCCGTGCTTTAACGGAATATCAAATTATTATAATGAAAATGAAAAATTTCTAATTTCGAACTTGCTACAAAACATCCAGATTGAAGATCAAATTCACCATCGAGCGATCGCTTTGTTACCACCAACTAGCAATGATTATAATTATCTTCTTTTGTTGGTGATTCGGCAGTTGAACTAAATCACCGTTGTGAAATTGTTAAAGAAACTAGACGACAAACAATTGTGCAATAGCAAAATTTTCTACATGAGCATAATAAATCGGTCAGATTGTTCAAAACCCTATTAGGTACAATGTATTCCGACAACCCCAAAATCATTATCAGAGCAGACAAAAGACCCACTGAAAGTCATGCAAGTCAATTCAATACTCCCACAATCAATGAAGTGACATTGGTATTGTTGGCGAAATGTGAATTCACGGCATATTCTCAAACGTCGGGATAATGGACAATAGCAGCGCTTGTACGAGACCCATCGATCATGTGCAATATGAGATGGCCAGAAATTTCGAATCTGTTGCTGCTTGGACAAAAACCCAGTGATACCATTGTACGAGTTATCCATAAGCAAGAGAGTACTTATGTACTTATTATTTCCACCGAAATACCGAATTCAAGTACTGATTCCGAGCTGCATTCCGTTGCGACAACGAACATCATTCATGGCCCTTGCGAAGTTCGAAGCAAGGGATGGATGGAAGACAAGGCGTTTTCTCGCTTTCCGAATGATAACGGCAGGTGGATAATTTTATGTTCTTACTTTTTAGCTAAATATGTAGATTGAAATGCAGTTCACATCTGCACCTGTGTCCACTTTAAATGTGAGTAAAGATCATTTAAATTTTTTTGTCCGCCTGACTGTGTGTCGACCACACTCACAATTCCTAAGATTTATTTTGTTAGTATAAATATTTGCTTTAAGTTTGATTTAATTATTTTTACCTGATTCCACCCAATTGATCAACCAACCGGTTACTGACTTGCTTTCCACATATACCACCAAATATAGTGCGTATCATAGCTGTAAGAAAAAGGTTATTGCTATAAAACCTTAATTAAAAAAAAACAATTTTGCAATTTGATTAAGCGTCATTTTAAGCTAAACAACAGAAAAGTTTCGATTTGAATATTATTTAAATGATTTTTTTTTGTAAAAGCCACTTTAATTCGTTGTATCATCAATAAAGTTTTTTTGTTTTATTTATTGTAAGCTTTTTAAGCAAAAGATTAGAGATCTATTAGAGCAATGCGGTGAAGTGGTCGCTCTGAAATTATACTCTCGGAGCGACAACATATTCGCATTGCTGTAAGTGATCGGAAATCTTATGCTCAAAGTAAAATGCCTTAAATTATTGTGTATTTACACATTCTGGCTCAAACTTAACTTAGGTACAATATATTCTTATGGTTCAGAAACGCACTTTATGCACAATTTACACATATCGATATATATATGCATACAATTTAAGCCTAATGTATACAAACATGGCACTATGGTCGAGCGGACCACTTTTCTTGGCCAAAGCCCATTTTTTAAAGTGGTCAAAATAAAATGATTTTGGTCTCGATTTGACCATCGACGTGGCATACCCAAAATGTGCATAGGTGGCGCCACTCTAGCGGACGAGGCCTTGAAAGTCAGCTGTTTGTACACAGGCCAACGGGTAGAGTAAAATTAATTAAAACATGGCAATTTTAAAATTACGAAAACTAGGAAAAAACATGCCGAACCGAACCAAATTTATTTATAATTAACGTTTGAATTACTTGTTCTGTAATGGGAAATGTTCGAATCTATTCTGGTATTTTTGTAATTTAATGTTCAATTATGTTTTCAAAAATATGTAACTTTTCATTAAAAACTTATTTTTAAAAAGCTATACAAAGTGAGTCCCTCCTAGTCCCACCTTGAGACCTATTGGGATTTGAAGGGAATTGCATACTTGTTCATTTGCATATAGTGATTTGACTTAAAAGTTCAAAAAGTTTTGTATGAAAATGGCAATTAAAAAGGTGTAACACTGTCTTTATCCTAAACAAACTTGTAGAAATACAATAAAATTGCTGGAATATAGTCATTAAGATAAGTCAAATGTCAAAACAAAATTTTTATATCGTAAAAAGTGTTAATAATCAATTTTTCATACAATTATAAGCAAAAACAACACTATATTTCGATTTTTGTAATGAAAAATATGGTTATTCGTTATCCGATTTCGATAAAATTGTTTAAATTTACTTAAAATTACATTTTATTTATGTAACCGAAGTTTTATGAATTTATCTCAAATTTTT